GTAGTTTCCTGCTACATGTACATGACAAATGTCAGTTGCTGTGTGCTTTTCAATGTGTAAATATTGAGTTATGAATTAAATTGAGAGGCTGGGAGAGAACAAAAGAACAAAGATGATCCAGCAGTCACTATATCATGATAATTATGCTAAGTAACATCACATGTGTATCACCAAATTAAAAACATACTTTAAATCAAGACAGATATATTTGACATAAACATTCAAACTCACCTCACAATATTCTGTAACAATGCAGAAGAACTCTCCATCCATGAAACTATCCAAGAACTTGACAATGTTAGGATGATTTAGCTAAAAAAAGGTGAAAATTTTAATCTGCCACTTGTTGTTACCAAGACACTGGGAATTGAGAGCACTCTCCCAAACAGCTATGCTACAATACTTGTAGGGAATATCACAAGTTACATCAAATTTTTCATTTACTATTTCTATGTCCACAATTCATCTAGCCTGCTTGCAGGCCCTAGTTGGTGTGTGCATGCAAGATTCAATGGGGCAAATAATTATATTTGGTTGCCATAATGGATGGGTGAAAGATCTGGAAGGAGTGACAAAGCAAAAGGGAGGGAGGAGGAGGAGAAAAACCAGAACCCCCCCGCCCTTGCCTCTCACTTTATCACTTGTCCCAGATCTTCCAACGGTCCAATATAGTGACCAAATATATTTGCCACGCTGAATCTCCCACATACCAAATTCCCCCTGTGAGCAGATTACAATTCATCATTTCTAGGCAACCTCCAAAAGTCTCAATTATTTCAGTTAAAGTAAAAAAATATTGGATGTTCATTTGACAAATTTAAGTTTTTTAGTTCAGGGTATATGTTGCTTGTTGTACATTATGCTCTCTTGCATATCTGTCGATTAATATGAGCTAAAAATTTAAACCTACATTGGACAACAATCTAGCTTCTCTCATGGCATCTACTGTTTCATCTGGCTGTAGCTCCCCCACAAATATCTCCTTCAAAACCTTCCTAAATGAATTAAGAAGATAAATTGTGTGTCAGTGATAAAAACTTTTTTACAGATCTGCTGCTGAAGAAGTTTGTTGAATAATTAATTTCTGATTCCTGTTTCAAGGTTGTTTTAGTGAACTCTACAGTTACATTACATAAATTCAGGTTTTTTTTTTCCATGGCATGGACAAATAAGCTTAATTGCTACTTGATTGTCCATTTGTTGAGTGATCTTGTTCCATACTAATAGCAGAGTTGAATCAGGGAGAATTTTCTTACAACAGCCCTTTGTTCCATTAAAGCAAGAAGAGAAGATTCATATGGTAATTTTTTAGTTAGAAACGATCTTACCCTGACAGACACGTCCTCGTTCTATCCACTACCAAGGTTAATCTGATACCTGTGGCTTTCCTCTAGACTCCGGTGTGTAAACACAAATACAATCAAAATACACCTCACTTTGTTCCCATAAAAGTTTGATGTGCATAAAAGCTTACGCTTTTATCGTTTTAGACTTGTAAGTAGTAAGTAGCGATATGATTTCAGCTGGGTATATCTATTTAATCTCTAATTCATTAGTTATCTTACTTAATTATTTAGACACGACCCCACAAGCGAAGCGAAGTGTCGCTTTAAATACTTATCGTGTATAAATAACGATTATCGATTGATTGATTGATTGAGTTCAAGAGGTCACCTTCTAAAATATTTGTTGCAGCGACTTCTTCTCAAATCAATAAAGTGCTCACTTGCGTTAAACATCTACACACACAGTTATAGTTTCTATGGGAACTGAACATTTTGCTCTTTCCCACTGTTACGCATAAACAGGGGAACAATGGTATCGACATTCCACAAACAAGAACCACCAAAATCATAGAATGATATTGGTCAATAAAGGTGCTGTAAACAAAAAAATTAATGATATCACACAAAGGATAACCCTGCGGCAGCCGGTGGAAGTTTTACCGCCCAGATAAGTCCGCCTGTTGCATACTTTTCGAACAGTTTTTTTTTTCCACCTACTACGCTATGGAAGTGACTGTATGTCACTCCTTCTTTCTCACCAGATGTGTGGAAGAGTTAACAGACAAACGAAGATAATTTTGATTCCAAACACCCAGTTGTTGATAAAACTAGTTAACACTACACACATTTACCATTCTGCCGTAGCCCTCACGTCCTCCACGAGATAAACAGTTCCAAAGCTGCCGCTTCCAAGGCGCTTCTCTACGCGATAACGGTTTGCAAAAACACGACCTTCATCTTTACTTTTGGATTTTCCACCTAGTGGAATTTTCTTTGGCAGTGGCATGGCAAATTCCGATCCCCATCAAGAAATCCCTAATCTGTGGGCAAACGTACAATGAATCATCTGTCACGCCACAGTGGTTCCAGAGCGCGTAGATGAAAATAGGCTTCTTTTGACCTCTCTGTTGACTGCTTCAAGAAAGATTTACAGCCACTCTACGTATCTCACAGCTAAAAATAAGTCTTCAGGTTAAATTACTTTGATTTTTCTTTCCACACATCTTCCAAAACCTGGGCAAAAGTTGGAAACGAACGCTAATGTGTGAAACCCGCAAGAAAGTTATTGTTCAGCGGCTATTGCCATAAGTGAGGAGTGAATTGTGGGAAGAAGAACGACATTGATTGATTGTGCTGAGGAAAGTAACTGTTTTGATGAAAATCATGTCCAAACATTCGTCTTCGCAAACCCCTCGCAAATTGAAAATTGGCTCTGGATCAGTCGTTTGCCAAGAGGCTGAAATAAAAGGTGAGGTTACGATTGGTTCCCGAACGGTCATCCACCCAAAGGCTCGTATAATAGCAGAAGCTGGGCCGATAATCATCGGAGACAACAACCTCATTGAAGAACAAGCTACAATACTAAACTCGTCTTATCTTGACGACGATGGACAATCTGGCGGGAAAATTGTCTTGAAAATTGGAAATCATAACGTGTTTGAGGTCGGTAGCCAGTGTGAAGCCGTAAATGTGGGCGATAACAACATCCTTGAAGCTAAGAGTAAGGTCGGCCGATTCACAAGTGTTTCTCATGGGTGTGTTATAGGAGCCAAATGTGAAGTTACTTCTCAGGAAACGCTGCCAGAAAATACAGTGATTTATGGACAATGTTGTAGTAGGAGAGTACAAGGAGAGAGGCCTGTGCCACAAACACTGCAATTAGATTTTCTTACAAAGATCTTACCAAATTATCATCATCTAAAGAAATCTAGTCGATCATAACCAAAAAACTCAGTCCTTTTTTCTAACTGGTCATAATTTATTTATTACTTTTAGTTCTTAATCCTTGACGAAAAGTAAGGATTTATCTTGTATTCCTTGCCCAAGGAGAACACAGATGTGCTCTCTCATTGTTGTTGAAGTTGGAATGAACCCGAGGGAACGCTTTAAAAAGCACTGGTCATTTGGAATCTAAACTGGGGCAACAATTGGAGTCAGTTCTTGAAATTGTTTGATGTATTTCACAAGTCAGTTGAGAGAAAGAACAAATGGTTCAAAGCCTGTTTGAAACCTTATTATTTGCCAGTTAGTTATACAAAGTCGAAGGGGTATATACATATATACAAGTATCGTACATTTAAAGTTAAGGAATTAAACACAGGTGTTAGTTAATGTTGTTGCAAAGTGTCTTAAACCTAAATTTTTCCCAAACTTTCTATCACCCATGCATGTTTGCTTTTGGATAAAGAGCAAATCTCCCAGTCTCCTCTGTAGGTCTCTAAACTTCTGGTTGTGTGAGGTAACTTAGATTGGTTCCCTGTTTAAGTATCTCACTTCCTGGAGTTAGCCAAAGATAATTTCAAAATAGAAGTAAGAAAAGAGAGAATGAAAAAAAAAATTTTAAAAATTGACATATTGTTTAATTTACTACCAAATTTTCTTAGAGCTAAAATCAGGGATGAATGATAGACAATTGATGATTAAATTGAACTTTGTCTCCTTATCCCACCGGGATAAAGCTACATTCCTTTTTTTGTTCCTATCACAGTATGTAAGTGTATGTAATTATGTATACACGAAATATTCCTTTAACCCACAAATAGCAGATACTAATCGAGGGTCAATTTTCTTCTTAACTAAATTAATTAAACTTAATAGTGATCATGTGGATGCTATGTGTTAACTTATTTTGTCACAGAATGTAGCTTAAAGTTATCTTGTCACTCTTCTAGGCTTTCCTTGCAGCTTGCATGGAACAAGCTGGAAATATGCCTCCTTTGTTACTAAAAATCTAGATATAGGCTACATTCTTACAAGATATCCAATTAATCAATTTTAGTCCTTGATGAACAAATTTATTTGGCTTTTAGCCAAATCCACTTCATTGTAGAGGAATTGAAACTATGTTGTTAAATTCCATACCCCACCCCCCCTCCTGACACAAACATTTCTTAAACACGAAGGCGCCCCATATAAAGAAGTCTTCCCTGAGAAGACCCAGGCTCATTTGTCACTCACCGTTGACGTGTGCAGGTCAAATTCAAATGCTGGTAAAGGAACAAAAGGAGCTAGTGAGATATCTATTGTTTACTTCCACCAGCATGGTGGCATGAGGTTTCCATTGGAGAAAGGAAATACTAATCTCAAAAATTCTTGTATTGTGATGAAGACATAAAACAATTTTAAGGAATGTGCCTACTGCTCACTGCTTTGGAGTAGCTGTAGCTCAAGCTGACTTGACTCTAAGAGTTCTACACACGACAGTTGATTGACAAATGGTCCAGTGGGACTTAAGGCTCCTTTTATAGCAGGCCTTCGTGTTTAAGTGATTAACTTTCAGGAAACATTAAGACATGTCTTGTTTCGTGCTTTTTATTGCATTTTATGTATATTTTAATTTCTTAAATACAAACTATGAGACAGCAACACAGTCTTTGAAGAGTAAATTGAAATCCATTTATCTCATGGTATTTCTATAAATTAATAATCTGGTGTTGACTCGACTTGAAAGAAATTAAATTGACATTTTAAATCTTATTCTAATTCTTCCCAACATTTATTTTGTGCATTATACTATCAATTTATTTATTTATTGATAATCCACTTATATTCAAGTGACTTTCTCGGTGAATTTCATTTCATGCCACCAAACAAACCTTGTGTTCCATCAAAGTTTTTCCTTAAGCAATCAAGAGACCTTGCATTTTAGCTAAATAGTTACACATCTCCTGACTTTTGAATTGTGAGATTAGTCTTTGTTTACCAGGAAATGACCAATGTCGCCATGTATGTTTCCCTCAAACACATTGTTTGTCATTTCCAATTTGATGCCATGCTCGGGGTCACAGCTGGCAGTGAAAATTTCTTGATCCTTCTTGACACAAATACCATAGCAATGATTGTTAGAGATGTAATTATCAGACAAAATGGCACTAGTGTTCTTGGTAGCTGATAGGGCCTGAAAATTAATACAAGTATGAGGTACTTAAATGTTGAACTTACAAGTAAATATTCTGTCCCAGGTTACATTTCCTGTTATTATCATACAGACAGTTCTAGAAATGAAACTTACAGGTATAATCCTAAAGGCTTATCTCGGATAATGAAGAATAAAGCTGACAGGAGTATTAGTACAACAGGATGAGTGCAAATCCATTGCCAGTAACCACCCCAGCATTTTGTCAAGTTCCAAGTCAATTTGCCAATAATCTAGACTATAAGCAGTCCCTCCTTTTCAGCAAAGTCCAATGCACAAATTAAGACTTCTTACCACCATCTCTTCAGCCTGCAAGCAGGCTTGCGCCCTAGGGCTTTGCCTTATGGCTCCTTTACAAGCACAGCTGCACAGTACACCATCTGCAGCCACTTATGGAATTCTGGGATTTGCAAAATTTGATTGTAATAAAAATTTACAGTGAACAGACCTATTACTAAAAATGTTGTTTCATTAAATCCCTATATGCCGGGAACATTAAGAAGTGAAGGCAAGGCCCTAACACTAATGGTAGCCAACTAGCCACAGACTAGAAGAAATTCAGTTTTAGCTCATGGATTCAATTTCTATCAGCCATTTTGGCTAGTGAACAAACTGGAATTGTTGCAACATCTGACGTGTCACTAGCCCCTTGGTTAGTAAGTTGCAAACTCAGTGTTGAGCCCTGAAGGAGTGAATTCTTGTATAATTAATGTGAGCTCTGTGCATTCATGTTGCAATTTGCAGTTTTAGCAGAGGAATTTAACTTAATAAACAGAGTTATTGTACAAACCTCCAAGACAATGGCCCCAGTGGTAAGTTCTGTAGTCACATCCAAATCCTGACCAAATTCTCCATTATCAAACAGTTTGCTCTCTTGTAAATCAAGTTTTGCACCAGAGGAAACAATAATTGCTGCAGACTTAAGAAAAAAAGCAAGGCATTGATAAATTAGATATATCATAGATCTTGTAATCAATATGATTGTATCTCACAAATGTAACATATCAATTATGGCCCAAGGATGTAGTAACTGGATGATTCCATCAGGTTTAAAAAATGTCCTCACAATTCCACTGAATAGATATTTGCATGGAAAAGGATATCCAATTCATAAATACTTTGACCTTGTTGGTAAATTTTTAACAAATAAGTCACTGCCTGGTGAGTAAACAACTGAATTGTATATTAGTATTTTTCAAATTTTGAGCAAGAATCTTCAGATGGGAAGGGATGCTAACTTAGGCTTAATTACTCCAGAGGCAGCCTGTTCAGTAAAAGAACTCAATATGAAATTATGACTGAATTCTTAAGAGTGGCAAAAATTGAGCCAAAACTTGACCTGGTGGGACTGTAACAGATCAGATGAAACTTAGTTTGCAACACACCCACAGATCTTTACCACCTTCATCCTACCCAAGTTAAATGTGTTAACACCCGGACAAGCCAATGATGTTAAGTCCTAATTAAACATGTAAGCAAAAACTGAAAACATATCCTTCACATACAAACTACAACAAAATTATATTACACTATATATAATTTGGATATATCAACAAAGTTGAAATGGTAAATTGGCCACCGTAACGATTACAAAAGCTGATGTTTCAAGCGTTAGCCCTTCGTCAGAGTGAATAGAGGAATTGTGGGTTGTGTGTGCTGTTAAAGGCAGAAAATGGAGCTACGTTATTGGTGGGAACATGGCAATGAGAAAAACAATAAATTAGTGGAATGAAAAGCGTTTTGTTGATCCGACGAAGGGCTAATGCTCGAAACGTAAGCTTTTGTAATTGTTGCGGTGGCCAATTTACCATTTCAACTTTGTTGATATATCCAAATTATTTCATTACCCCCACCGAAGCAGCCCCAAACAGTTTCGTTGGAAACTATCAGCCTTTATTCATTTATTTTACACTAAATGTTATCTACTGAGTAGCAGCCTAAGCTCTACTTGCCTGTGACCAAAGTGTTACTGACAATTTCATCCTTAAAAAATATTACTCCTCCTTGTTCAAAAGTGATCATCATGTACAATAACATGTGAATGGAAATGAGTTCTCATTCAAAAGTAAAAAGTGAAAACTTTCAGGGAAACAAAATATGGCATTCAATGATGGGTAACTAATGATAAGCAATTGGTTCTAGCTAACCTTTGCACCATGAACATTGCATTGCCTCATGACCAACTCTCCATTTTCCACACTGACACCATTTGTTTCACACCTCATATGACAATCATCAAATGTAACCCGGCCATTCTTTACCAACACAATTCCTTCATTTTCACTTCCTTCTTGTTCAAAGGTGATATTCTTGATGCTGATATTAGTTGCACAGCACTCCAATGTGTATTCTTCATTATCACTACAGAACACTTTCATTCAAAACGACTGGTTAGATGTTTCATTATTTCATGTTGTTATACTGACAGATACAAACATCGAGGTCTTGGATTAACTGAACAACAATTTTAGCTGTAAGTTGTTTAACAAAACCACATCCTAGACAATTCTCAATTTAACTGAACATTTTATCTGAACATTTGTGTTTCGGGAACAGTGTCAAGAGGGCTGAAAGATAGTAGTGGAAGGACAATTGTTAGACAAATTCAACCCTCTTCTTTTGAAAGCCTAAGGACCACTGATTGCATAAGACTGTGTTGGGTCAGACCTTGGGTAAATAACCAGGTCAACCTTTCTGTGTGTTATAAGCCCCAATGACCCAATGACCCAATTCCTCCCCCCCCCCACAACTTCACACTGAGAGTCATTTGGAATCTATTGATAATTCTGGGAGTGGAGAGGCTCTTTGAGGGTAGGGTGTCTTGTCCGAAAATGATGAAAATAGCAACATTGATATCAGTTCCATAGAGGCTTCATCATTTTTTTATCTGAAAATGCACCACATTAAAGCTATGTGAAGGCTGAAACTAAGCGCTTAAAATAGCTTGACATTTTGATTAGAAGTTCACAAAACCTTTTGCACAGTTTGCTTGTAACACTAACTTCTGCAACTAAAAACACAGAAGGCCCTAAATATCATCTAACATCCAGTCCACACCTATGTGTGAATTTTGTCTTTTCTGTTAGATTAGTCACCTACCGACAATTTCAGAAGGATTTCCTATTCCTGTGATATGAACAGAATCTGCAAGTTGATGTGCCCTGCCCTCAAGTTTGTATTTTCCAGGATAAACCACAATCATATCCCCATGATAATAGCTCTTCAGAGCCTTTCCCAAGCATGAATAATGCTCCACTACTGTGTTATCTGTTGGACAGTTTCCAAAAGAAAAATGTCACAAGCTCATCAAACTTCACATTTAACAAGTGTCTCTTTGCAAGTATTTTATGTGAGTATTGTCATTAAGGTAATCTAAGTGTTGTGATTATAAACAATACCAGTTTCCAAAATCACATTTTACATAGTAGTGGAGCTTGCAGCACTTGCAGTGCGTGCAGCATAGCCCCATAATTATACAAAATAGTAGTAGTAACCCAACAAGCCAAGAAAATTTGGACTTATGACCATACAGGTGCCTGTGCAAGGTGCTACTTTTACCATGCGCTGTCAACTGTACTGCAGGCACGCCAACGCCACGGCAGTAGTCTTGTCCAGTGGGTGTTTGAGAAATGTGTGCACTACACTTGTACATAGCTGAGGAGACTCTGGGTTCAAGATGAATTTAGCAGATGGTACATTAAGCATGCGCAGCCAAGAGCCCTGTAGGCTTATCCTTGCAATGGTACCATAGTTATACAAAATAGTAGTAGTAACCCATCGAGCTAAAAAAATTTGGACTTATGACCGTACGGGCATCTGTACAAGGTGTTATTTTTAGCATGCACAGTCAACTGTACCGTGAGCACACCAATGCCATTGCTTTACTCTTGTCCAGCGGGCACTTGAGCACAACACAAAAAGCCATTAATATTAACACACACTTTATCCATTGCAGGGGCTTAAGTTTTGTTGACGAGGCATGCAGGAAAAAAAAAATGCAAGCTCCACTTTTAGGCTTGGCTAAATCTATACATTATTTTCAATGTGATTGTAAGAAACTTTCATTGTGTTTTCAAAAAAGTACTCCTGACTTTGCCAATGCATCACTGTTTCACACTGATGAAGGGCTAATGCTTAAAACGTCAGTTTGGAACTCTTTACAATGGTCAATCAACATTTATTTATCAAGTCAGTTGATAAAACTTGATTATCTTCATAAAGACCCCTTGGGACACAGCACCACAGTTTCTTTAGAAACTTATACCCTTCTTCACTATTAACAGTCTAACTTACAGATCACATGAAATTTTCCTTTTCAAACAGTTTCAATAACATGTGTTCTTTTAAGATTTGACTACCTTCATAGAACTTGACCATGCCAGCCCGTAACTTTGGTGCCACTATATAAGTAACAGGATCATCTCCTCTCGGTCGGTTACCTCTGGGACCTTGCTGCGCCAGTTTAGGGGACACAGAAGCCAAGAGGTACCTCATTTGTGGGTTCTCTATGATCTGCAGTGAATGAACCAGTGACTCACACACTTCTGACATCTGTGCACATTTGAGCACATCCATTTCATCAAGCTCCTCTTCAAGATCACTGACTGCGATTTTTTCCTGAAGCTGTTTCAGTTCTGCTAACTTCTCTCTGTATTGGTTATAACTATCTGTTCAGAGAAAAACAGAAATCAAGGCCTACAGCTGTACTTATCTACCATGATATCTTTGTGGTTTGATGAATCAAAGGGCTGAAATTCATTTGGTATTTGTACTTCTTTCATTGAAAAGCAAAGAAATTAATTGCCAGACACCAGTTTTACTAATACAATCCATGCATAAGCTATTATACTAGACACTCATAACCTGGATTGTCACAAAGTGCTGGCTGCTGGCAAAATTCCCTGGATGAAACAGCGGTGATTGCTGGCTGGATTTTTGACTGGCATTTGCCTGGTAAAGCAGAATGGTCTCTTTCAAGGTTTAATGGCCTACCTCTATAGTTGTTGACAAGATCTCTGGAAAGGTTTCCTTCTTCTATATCATAGTACAGTTGAATTCTTGTGTCTAAATGTCGGCCAGCATAACAGTACTCTCCATCATCATCTTCATCCCACTCTCTCCAAATGTTCTCATAGAAAAACCTTGACAATAACCAGACTATTAGCAATGCCTTGTCAGTGTGAATGTTAATCAAAGTTTCTGGAATTCTAAGAAACTTGATAAAAACAATAAAAGTATCGGCCAAGAGCAGTTCCGTGAAACAGAAAAACAGCCTCAAAATTAATACTCAATGTTTAAAATTTGAACAACATCTTATTCCTAATAGAGGCAGATATAATAATTCAATAATTAATAATAATAATTTATTAATTCATAGTGTGCTTTTTAACATGTTATGATCAAAAGTGCATTACACTTATCAAAAACCTAGGAATTAAAACGTACATTAGATATATACATATAGAATATACGAAACAGTACTGTCTGCAGTTATATATATGTATAAAGAAAAGAAAAATGTAAACATAACACTATATTTAAAACATGTACATGATATAATTTATCTTAACAATATTAAAGCTAGTTTGAATAAATGAGTTGAGTTTTAAAACTTGCAATACAATTCACACTGTGCAAGCTGGCTGGAAGAGCATTCCATAGTGTGGGTGTGGCCAGTCAACTAAAGGACCTGTCACCAAATGTTTTCTTCATTTTTCCTGAGGGTTACTCTAACCAAACACCATCGTTGGAAGGCAAGGAATAGCATGTGTTCTTTTTTAGATTAATTAAGTGCGATAAGTAGGCTGGTGCCATTCCATGAAGAACTTTAAAAGTGAGCAATGAGAGTTTAAAATGAATTCTGTATCTTACGGATAGCCAATGCAAATTAAGTAAAATGGGTGTAATATGATTGTACTTTCTACTTAACGCGAGCAGCCTAGCTGCTGTGTTCTGTACTCTTAACAATTTGGTGATTTCACAGTCCGGTAGTCCATAGAGGAGTCCATTACAGTAATCTATTCTGCTAGTAACAAAAGCATGCAACACCATTTCTAATTTCTCTCTCTAGAGGCCAATATTGGCTTATTCTCTTCATATTATGTAGCCAGAAAAATGCAGTACTACAAGACTTAGTTATATGTGTTGACATAGAAAAATGTAAGTCAAACCAGGCACCAAGATTACGCACTTAAGAAATGGGCTTTATATCCACTGTGCAAACACAAACTGAACAGTAATTAATCTTAAGCAACTGCCGTCTCGATCCAATAATAAGGAATTCTGTCTTATCATCATTTATTTTTAACTTGTCCTGGTAGATCCAATTTCGTATGTCACTAATGCACCTCTCCATGGCATCCAATGCCTTTGCTTGCTCTGCACGACTATTGGGATTAAACTACAAGTAAAGTTGCATGTCGTCAAAGAAACAGTGTGCATCTGGCAGGTGGGCTTGCACAATCTTAAGGAGCTTGGAGGCCTAGACTACAAACAATAGTGGGCCAAGGCAATTGCCCTGTGGAACCCCGAAAGGCAGATCAAAGCTGTCCGATGTGACTCCTTCAAACAACACACACTGGCTGTGAAATATCTCTCAGACCAATGTGGTAAATTACCAAAAAGGGGTTTAAACCAAATTTGGCACAGCCTTTAATTTTAGGCTAGCAATGGATATTTGGAGATCTCATTGAAAAACATCATTACCATACAGCAATAGAACACATCACACTCACAACACATACGTACCTGACATGCTCAATGGCCAATGCGGTTTCATCACGCTGTCCAGATTCATCATAAACAGGGCACAGCTCAGTAAGAGGAACATGATTGCCATGACAGCAAAGGTATGCATTGACTTTTTCAATATCTAAATCATTGAGGCAGTCTGTGACCACTGGCTTACATATACTGACTTCTGCCATCATGTCACTTGCATTGACATTTGACACCTGTCAGTCACATATAGACTATATCAGATCACACCATGTAAGGTAGATTCCACCAACCCCCCTTCCCCCGGGCTGGTGTGGCAGTGTTTCATGTGACTTTTTCAATCATACAAAAAAAGTTGAGGAACAATGTTATGAAATCATTAAGAGACTTCCATATATTAAAGACAATTAAGAAGAAGTTTGAATGAATACTTACGAATTGGTAATGCTAACGAAATAAAAAAAGACGTAAATACTAACAAAAAAAATTACTGATGGAAAACAAAATTGCAAACTTTCAAACTTTCAAGGGTTTTCTGGAAGCCCATACTAAGTATCCTTTACTGAATATGCATGACTGAGTACGGTTCTGTCTGTAACGTTAAGAGTAATTTTCCAAACAGGAAAATAAATCAAGTAATTCGACAATGTTTTTCATTTGAATGGAATACACAATTCACACAATCTACAGTCGAAGACTGCGTTTAGAAAAGAAGCACAAAGTTAGATTGAACACTATCTAGTTTCATTTTGAGCATTCTGATAACGAAAACATAAAAACTGCTTGCCTCTACTACAACGTCAAAAGGATGCGGTTGTCCGCTGGATTTGGGAGTACTTCTCCAAACTGCCTGCCAGCCACTCGCCTCGACATTTCGACCAATGTATTTACCGATTCTGTCGGGAACTTCGCGCGGTTTACACAAGCCTAAAATATCATTTTGATAAGCTGCTACACGAGTTTCAAAGGACAAATCTGCAGTCTGAAATATCATCGGTAATTTAGTACTCGACATTGTGCTTAAATTATTATTTAAATTTGGCGGGGAAGATGTGTTAGCTGTGCATTGTGGAGCTGTGGAGCCAAAACGGCCTCTCAGACCCAGTGCCTTAACTGACCGTAGCATATCACGGCATACTACAACATACTTCATTACACATACACAACAACAAAAGTCTGGATGCGTTCCGTTCAACCTCGTTCTCAGGGCATTTTTCCTTTGGGGGTGGAGCTGGGGGTGGGGCGGGAAAAGGCCCACCCCCAGATAAGGGATATAAGGCCCTTGGAGCGAGGTTGCGTTGCGTTGCGTTGCGTTGCCTTTCTCTCCCAAAGAGAAAGCGAGAGTAACATTGACTATCCTGAAATAAAAGAAGACGTTGAGTCAAAGACTGAGTAAAAAAAGAGAAATGTGTTTATCATCGGTGCTGTTACTTAGAAATCAAAACTCTTGCTGCAACGCCTCGAATTCTAACCGCGACCGAAGACCGCAAACGAAAATGCTACCAGTGTACTTAAGATGTGGCTTGTTCAAATAAATAGCATTCTATGATGTCCATAATGTTCGCTTAATAACCCTGATGATGGCAAACAGTTGAAAACGTTTGGTTTAAACATTTTAATAATTTTTTTCCTAATCTTTTAGCCTTGTATATGGAATATCGTTCTTTGATATCACCTAATTTTTTTTTTTAATGATTTGCATGGTTATCTGATGACACCAGGAGCCCATTACCCTGATTACACCTATCTTCAAATAATTTTCAAAAAGTGGGAATCAATTTCAGACGATTAAAGTGCCAAAAAATGTCGCAAACATTTTGTCCGAGAAAGGGGTCATTTGATATAAATGGTTTCAAAACAGTTTGTCGATAATATTTCAAAGAATTTGGCCGATGAATTCAGTTAAGCGTTCATCGTCATTGTCGAAGGAAGTCATTGAAGATGGTCTTTGCCTTAAGCCAATTTTTATGAAAAAGTCATAACCACAGCCATCTTGTTGCATATTTTGCCGAAAATTTCTTATTTCAAAGAATCAGTTTACATAGAGTAGTTACTTTACATAGCCACCTCAATTTTAGCGGGTTTCCATTAAAAACACGATGTGCACTCCCTCTTATGCTTCCTAAAGAGTATCTTACCTTGCAACTCGTTAAATCTGAAAGAGACTGTCAAGAAATATTTCTGTCCCACTTACAATCGGTACTCAACACAGAGGGTCATAAGTCGATGAGTCCAAGGCCATAGTTTCAACAAGCGCCCCTCGCCTCCCTCGCTTTCTTAGATAGTAGGGATACAAGTAAAGCCTGTTTCTATTGCCCTTTTTTCCACAATTTTTTCAGTTTCCATTACAGCGAAATCAGTACAGGTAAGAGATTATAATATCTCGCTACAGGAGAATAATAACCCTCTCCTTCTTTTAGACGCTTATTCGAGGAAACAAGGGTCGAGGTTTGAAAATTTATTTGTTTACTCAAAGTTCTGCAGAAAGGAACGATTTGCAATCTATAAAGTAACAACTGATTAGAATTCCAAAAATTGGCTTAACAAATATTTGGACATTAAATGGACTCCTGAAATAACACAACTGGACGAAAATGCGCATTTACGCGGTTTACAGTCATTTTAAAGCGCCTTTCTACTGACATAAATAAGTCGACGATTTCAGATTAATATTTTGCATGATGTGTGCGTGATATTGCCACTTTCTGGCTGGATTCCAGTGTTATCTATAGTGAAACGGTAAAATTAAAATATTAAACAATAAGCGAATAATGCCCGAGGGTGTTTATTTTTTCCGCTTTACGAATCGTGGGTAGATTTTTTTATTCTTTGTCTTTTTGTTTTTGCGGTTGAGTCAATTTTTCCTGTAGCAAAAACAAAAAAAAGATAAATAAATAAATAAATTCACGTTGTAATTAAAATTGCATTTTTTTTTTTTTTTACCCTAAGACGTCGATGCATTAAGAAGACTCGCATCACTTCTTTGTTTACTGAAGAAAATGCAATCAGGGCCGTGCCTTGATTGACAAGTAAGAAGGATAATGGTCCTTAGGAGAATTAAGATGTTAATCATCACATGTACTGCCGCCATCTCCACTGATTATCTGTGATGAAATGTGACAGCTCTTTTATAAGGGTGCATAAGGTTCCCTCCTTGAATCTAAACCAAAGAATATGTTTAAGTAAACTTCATGATAATTATAATATTTACGGATCCATTTTTATTCCAGAGCAAGGTTCTAAATCTAATGCTCATATACCTTGCCACTGTTCAAATTAAATTCTCTCTCAATATTCCTCTCAAAACGGTTTTTATTGAAAGGAAAACAGTTGAACAGGAGGATAGCTTTTGATCAGTGTTCTTCTATATAAAAAGAATTAACACATTAATTCGTTTATTGAGATCATTAACGAGATAAGGCAGGCAAACTGAAGGTAAGATTAAGTAAGCGGTAGATTTGGAAAAATACATGTATTCTGTAAGTTTTGCCAATATAATTTCTGGTATCACACCAGTGCAGTCATCAGACTGTTCATTCAAAGATGATTGATAACCTTGGTATATTGCGCTAAGATATTACAATAGTTTTTCCGCAGTCTTCATGCTAATGCTAGCCTTCATGCTGGTGCTTGCAAGTACTGAAAGTAAAGTTGAAAAGGTCCTTTATTGAGCGATGGAAACTAGTTATTTGCCGATTAATTGTCACTGACACGTAACACGGTTAGTCGTCAAAGGTTGATCTTTTAATTTTGTGTCTCTACGCTTGCATATCAAAGCAGCGAGCAGCTCATCTGTGAAACACACTTTAAAAAAAGTCGATTGGAAATTCCAGTAACTGAATACATTCTCGGGTTATACCTAAGCATGAAAAATTGTGAATGATTGATCGGTGGCTGAGCAGTTACCATGTTCAAGATAAGTTTTGCATTACACTTGCGAATTTGAACTATGTAAAGCATTATGCATTCAAATAATTGACGAAAATTCTGCAACTCAGTTGATTAAATAAACAGTCAATGATAAATTCCATTTTTTTCCTCAATTTTATGCGAGGTAACACACATGAAGCTAATAAAAAATGATCCACGAAAATGTGGTATTTGGTGGTAATTCCAATGGATCTTCTTCTTCAAAGAAAAAATTTACTTTACGTTCAGAAATTTAAATGTAAATCAAGAAGGAAAATTACTTTTTAAAAAGGTCAAGACGTCACAATGACACAATTGTTGTATTATGAGCTGCTATCGATGAAAGTCGCAAAACGTTTGTCCAAAAGTGGCAGCAACCATGTCCTCACTGGTCACGTAACGGACGTTTTTAGTTTTCCCAGCTGTCGATGAAGTAAATTCAACCCAACAAAACATCATGTGCGAGAAGCAACTCCTACCGGTTTGAAACGTGACAAAATGCGGAGGGCAAAATATGAAAGCGCCCATGATAAGAGTTCATGCTGTTGTCATAGATACGTCAGAACTATATCAAGATGAAGGAGCATCAAAGTCATTTTCCCATAAATTAAATATTTAAGATGAAGACCTAAAAAAACATCACGCTTGTTGTTATTGCTGCTTATTTACCTGAACCAGTAAGAATAAAGATTCCTGTTGTATTTAGATGTTTCCTTTGGACTCATTTATCTAGATTCAATGGACCGTAAAAGTTTCACATAAGCGATAGGATTAACGAACTGTGCTCTAATAAAGAAATGATCAAGGAAGGAGCCAGTCTCGTGCCCAGATCATGCTGTGTAACTCTAACTGAAACGTAAGCGCTTGGCCGTGATAGGATAGGATTAACGATAGGATAGCGATAGGATTAACGAACTGTGCTCTAATAAAGAAATGATCAAGGAAGGAGCCAGTCTCGTGCCCAGATCATGCTGTGTAACTCTAACTGAAACGTAGGTGCTTGGCCGTGAAAGGTCTGGGCACGAGACTAAAAGGGGGTAAATAAATAACAATGAAGGTAGGTGTGGTAATATTCCTCGCCGTAGATTTTACGATGGGACAGATAAACTCTTCCACACTCTGCTGAGAAACCAAGCCCGGATGCCACATGACCTTGAGAGCGAGGCAGACAAGAAATGACTGCCCTCATCTGAGACATTTCTTCCCTGATGTTCACCAATCATGATTCACGATCATCAACTAAAATTCCGCTAAAATCTCTCTTTTTATACCCGTCCAGTTAGAGTCAGTTTTTTATATTTAAGTCGCTAAAGCTGTTGCTTACAAAGAGCTTAATTAAAATGCCTGAAATCTAAAAGCGAAGAGCTTATTTTCATTTGTCACTGTGTAGCGATATGTAAAATGTACTTAACAAATGATGGAAAACGGAAGGTAACAAAATTTGCACGAGCAGGCCTGTTGTGTATCGGCTTGAATCTCTTCCAGAAATACTATGGGTGTTAGGACGACTTTAATTTTTTTTCTTTTTTTTAATGCTCTTAACTTAATTTAGCACATTTTCATGCCTTAATTACTCGCATTCTTTCATTTTTTTCTAAAAGATAAAGCAGTGACACTTCTCGTGTTAATTTTCCTTTATTTGATTGGAATTTAGCTGATGTTTGAAATTTTGAAGGAAATTATAGTTAAACCATGTCTCCATATTTAAGGAAAATTCAAGCTCCGCTGTATTAGCTGGAAATACTTGACGAACACGTAAAATATTTTATTTTGTTCTATTAGACCCAGACATGGCTAAAGGATTCGTAGGCTTGTTGCTTGTCGTGTTAATAACCTGCTGTGTTTTGTCGTCGTTGTCGAACGCTAAGCGGAGATCAAAGCCGGACCAGTGCCCAAGACTACGTCACAGGACAAATTGCACAGAAGACGACGACATGGAAATCACTGAATGTTGTCTTGAGAAATACAAACTGGGCTTTGACAATTTACCGTCTAGCTATAATATTTCCGTCCAAGACCCGCCATCTTGTGCCCTTGACGCGGTGAGTAAGAGGCTAAACAGGAAACTTCAACTATAACAAACTTTGACTTGTCCCCATGCATGTTGAATTCAGCCATCAGCGAAAGAGAAGCGAAGAACGGCAACGTAGTGCATTAAAAATGAAATGACTTGAAACATCATGAGGTCCGTGATCTTTCACAACTTATAATTCCTTATTTATCGTTTCAGGCTTTGGCTAAATGCCTCGAGGACAGCAAATGCTTCCGCAAACCGCTTACCAGAAACCTTCGCCTTCTTATGTTCAATCAACTGATTTTCACTAAAAGAACGGGACTGTGTAGCCGAACAAAGTTTGAAGATCTCTTGAGAGAAGCTAAGAAAAGTTGGTGAACAGTTTATTGATGATTGTAGCGTTAATTAACAATTGGTTCATGCTTTCAGCTGTGCACTATCGAGTTTTATAACATAACCAAAGTAAAGCGCGCGCTCTGATTGGTCAATTTAGCGTCCCCCATTTGCCCATGGGTGTACGCTGCTGACGTGAGCAAATGCAAAGACTATTTTTCCGCGCGCGATCGTTTTTTCTGGTCACGTAAGATTTGTTAAATAAAAGGGAACTCTTTAGCTACAATGTATCAATGTTATGTTATAAAACAAATGGTAAACACCACAGCGTACACTATTGAGTTATGGATGCACTTGGGAGGTTTGCTAAGCACTCAAGAAGCTAGAGTCGCTCTCGGCTATCGCCTCGAGCGACTCTTACGCTTCTTTCGTGCTTAGCAACCTCCCGCGTGCATCCATAACTCAATAGTGTACGCTGTGGTGTTTACCATTTGTTTTATAACATAACATTGATACATTGTAGCTAAAGAGTTCCCTTTTATTTAACAAATCTTACGTGACCAGAAAAAACAAGCGCGCGCGGAAAAATAGTCTTTGCATTTGCTCACGTCAGCAGCGTACACCCATGGGCAAATGGGGGACGCTAAATTGACCAATCAGAGCGCGCGCTTTACTTTGGTTATGTTATAA